GGAAATCAGATTATTAAGAATAAGTGGAATTATTATTAGTAGCTTCTTTATTTTAATTAGTTTAAGGCTAGTTAGGATTTAAACTATAATATAGTAACTGCTATTAATATAATACTTAGTATAAACTAGTATATTTTTATATAAAACTAAAAATCCAAGAAATACTATTATTTTTTTAGTAAAGCTTACTATTATTATAATAAGCTATAGTTAGGTAATTACTAGTAATTATACTTTCTAGCTAAAAAAGGCCAAAGTTCTGGAAAATATAAAGAGTAGGTAATATAAGAAAGTTTCTAATATTATAGGTAAAAGTAAAGATAATTGAGATTATATTTTAAATACTATATTTAGTAATAAAGTTACTAAATAGAAATAGAAGGTCTATAGAAATAGGGTTAGAAAGTTTATAATCTCCTAATAAATATAGAAATAGTAAAAGCTACTAAGCCAGAATTTCCAGAGTAGTTATAGAATTAGGTTAGCTATATCTAGATATGACTTTTCTAGTCTTTAGATCTATATATTTAGTAATAAAAGAATTTATTAAAGAAACGGATATTAGAGAAATATTAAACCAACTAAAATAATTAGTAATAACCGAGAAGTTATAGAAATCTTATATACTATAGTTAACCGAGAAGTTTATAACGGGATTAATAAAGGTATTAGTATATCTATTAAGTATATTTGACTTCTTAATAACTATAATAGTCTTTCTCAAATCTTGGCTTAACCAAATAGCTAAATAGGTTTCCGTTAATTCTCTACTAATAATATAAACTATCTAGCAAGTTAGTATTTAAAATCAAGAAATTCTAGTAAAATAAGAAGTATTAGAGCCGTATCGGCTTCTGTAATATAGAGATAAAGGCTCGGTATAGCCGCTTAAATAATATTAATAGGGAGAGATAGAGCTTTAGTATAAGAGCAAGTCTTACTATTAATAGTAATTATATTAGTAGCTAGAAAGTCGTAATATTTATTAATAATTAGTAAGGCATTTATAATAGCAGAAATGGCTCTTTATTAAAATGGTATAGTAATAGAACTAGCTATTTATAAGAAGTAGTATAGTAGTAGAAATAGCTACTAGTTTAAAAGATATAAAAGTATAATAGTAAAAATAGCTCTTTATTAAAATAGTATAGTAGTAGAACTAGCTACTTACTTAAGGGATATTAAGGTATAGTAGTAGAATTAGCTCTTTATTAGAAGAGGTATAAAGATATAATAGTAGAACTGGCTTCTAGACTTAAGATTAGTAAGTAAATACCAAAAATGGCTTTGCCTTAACCTTATTTAATATAGGCCTAGTAGTAATTATTTTTGAAGTATCTTTATTACTATACTTCTAATCTTAGTCAAGTATTAAATAAATAAATATAGCTATAAGAGTAGAACTATAACCTACTATTATAACTTTAACCTTAAGCTAAAATTATAATTTAAAGAGAAATATTTCTATACTAAATAATATAAGTTTAATTACCTACTTTCTAATTAATATTTATTTAATTCTTTTTAGGGTATTATTAAGCCTTTTTATAAATAACCTAATAACTCTCTACTAAATAATTAATTAACTTAGCCTAGTTCAGGTATACCCATAACCCGAATTTCGTTAATCTATATCTCTTTCTAAAGAAATCTAAGGCTTTTAGTAGTCCTTAATAATAGCCTTATAAGAAATTAACAAATATTAACCGGTTAAAGCTAAATTCTATTAATTTTCAAGGCTTCCTTTAAAGCTTTACGAGACGATATAGTAATTCGCTTTACTAGCTTAATATCCTTTAGAATTTAATATCCGAATTAATAATAAGTATAAAAACAGCTATATCTGGGCCATTGGCCCTTTTATAATACTTAAAGTCTACTAATAATCCCGCCGAATTATACTTTCCGTTTATAAACCTTAACTTGAACTCTATATATCCCGAGAGAATCCAGAACGGGTTCTCTAGTACTCGCCCAAATACTATCTCAAAGCCAGAGGAATATATCTTTATATATATAAGAAAGGGATATTCTCTTATTAATATTTAATTAGATTTAGAAGTCTATTTCGTTATTACTTGAGAGAATATCCTATTAGGTTTTATAAATATATAGGTAGTATTACCAGAATTCGTTAGTATTAAATATTTTCGGAATTAGTTACCTAAAGAGAATAAAGATCTTATAGTTATAATATTTCAGAAAAATTACTATAAGCGGTATAAGAACAGGCTTCTATTACTGAGATTATAGAATCTCAGCTTACTATTTTCTATATACAGGATATAAAGGTAATATAGATAGATACTACTAGGTCTGGATCCCAGAACTTGTATTATAAGAGTTATAAAGGCAATAAGTATAGAGGTTATTAGTAGAGATACTCTTAATTACTAAGTATTTTACCTATATCAAATTCAAAACAGATACTACAAATAGCAAGTCCTAAGCCTAAGTATTATTCCAGTTATAAATACCCAAGTATTCTATATTCTAAATCTCTTATTAACTATCTTAATTCCCCTATGCCTTAACTCAGAACTATCCCTATATAAACGGCTCTTAGCAGCTATAGACTTGTTATTAAAAGAGTTTTTCTAATATTAAGTCTTTCTATGGTTTCTATACTATAAGCTATCTATACCAAAGGAGGCAAATGTCTCTCTAATATGAGAAAGAACACGACCTGAAATAAGACTTCCCTCAGAAGCCATAAAATATATATAACGTCTATCCCTGTATACCGAAAAACCCTGTATAACGAAAAAAACAATAGGTACTTTGACTTCAAGTATCTTAAAATCTGTGTATACCTTAATATCTCTTATAATTTTTTATAAATTATATTCTATAGCCACTTCCAGATAACCTAAACCCCTTTTACTAGAAAATCGTATTTACATCGTCGCTCTCACGCCTAATTTGCAAAGGGTCTCTTTTTATAGTATAATAGTATTCCTCTACCACAACTTCACTGCGGAGCGTATACTATTCCTAATACTTCTAAAGGAGTCTTATCCGAGCTCTTAGACTTTACCACTATGCAGGAAGTCGTCATTAGCCTTGTGGCTACTATGGCGCGCAAATTCATACATGATCGCCACGCGGATCTGTAAGGTTACCTCGGATGAAAGCGAGTGACGATTTTGGTTAGTGCAAAACAACCCCGTAATATTTACGCCGTATTTCAATTATGAAGCCTTAGGCATAAAGGCCAACGGTGGCTAGAGGTGCTGCGGCCTGGTGCGCACATCCAGCTTAGTAATGACTTAAATGCCTGGCGTAGATGGTCCAGGCACGAAAATCGCAAACAAAATCTTGAACATAACAGACCTTGTATCCAAAGTCGCATTCAAGCCAGCATCGACCCTATCATCTTGCATTCGCCAAAATCTCGCATGCTAGAGATCCTTAAGCACACTGCTAAGTGGCGGCTAGGCCGGCTCATATCATGCCTATTGCCCTCAAGCTAGATCACCGCCCTGTCTTCCTCACTCGATACCCTCCTCACTCGATACCCTCCTCACTCGATACCCTCCTCACTCGATACCCTCCTCACTCGATACCCGATACCCTCCTCACTCGATACCCTCCTCACTCGATACCCTCCTCACTCGATACCCTCTTTATCGATACAGTACTTCACGGTGAAGCTCTTTTTCTTACGGTACAGTATCCGCGAACCCTCGAAATTATTCCAACAAAATTGTTAGTAGATGGGATATCTCCAGACTCGGTAGAGGACAGATTGCACGATATGATCCGTGCGCCGAACCTCAGAGAGGGAGCGACTTGATCCCGACTATCTTTCAAACTTGATATTTCATACGTGGCTCTGATCATAATGGAACTGTTAGGACGGCAGTTAGAGTATAAAGGAGAGTGGAAATCTCAAGCCACTTGTTGTAATTATCTTCATCAATAAATATACTCCAATGACCACTTTCTCGTCACAATATCGATTGTCATACGTAGTCCTGTGCCTCCTCGCCTCCACCCCTCCCGTGGAACAAGCCGTCTCGCACAAAGAATTGCTTCTCTTAATATATCCCCTCCGGACACAATCGAAGCAGAGGTCGCGCGCCACCTACCTTACTGTCGTCCTAATAATTGCCGAAGTGCATCCTCAGTACTAAGCAGCTCTAGTTCATAATAACGTTGTGTGTTCCCAATTTCGTCAGCGTCTCGTAGAAGACCCGTTACTATCAAGAGAATATGTTGACATGCAATAACTTTGGCCGAAGCGGCAACTAACCACTCCCGATCTGCATTTTCAAGTATTTTCACCCGAAACTCCCAGCAAATGCGACAAAAATTCTGGAGTTGGCGTACTAGTGCATCTGGCTCCATAGTTGAGGACGTCATACTGGGAATCTGGCTAGCGAACTCTTCCATCTTCTCCACAAGACGCTCTTGGACGGGATTTCTTTCCAAGTTCTTGATCCTGTTGAGGAGAAGTCGATGAACGGTCCATGTTTTCAAAATCGGTTCCGCTAGGTCATCTCCTATCTCCTGTATTGAGTTTTTCTTGACACCGTTCAACTCTTGGGCAAAGCGCTAAGAGCTTAGAAGCCCCAGCGATATTGACACCCTCTTCAAGAACTTGTATCTGTAGAGGCGAGCCATAGGCGTGGACTTGTAGGATAGCCACTACAGCATCGGCCACCTCTGATCCGGTCGAATTCTTCAGGAAAGTAAGGAGAAGGACTTGTAGACGAAGAGTAGCATCATTACTGCATCGCTTCGTTCTGTAGTTGGTAGTGTGCCTACTTGCCGATAGCTGGTCTGGTTGTAGAGACCCTAGAGTCATCGACTTAAGTTTTTCGGACAGTACATCGCATATATCGAGGCCAATCCGGGTACTCCGGGTCCCAATAGTCCCTCTTCGAGGTCTGCCTTAAGTTACTTTAACTTTAAGTATCTCAAACTCTGTGTACAGAAGCATCTCATACATACGACTGTGTAAAGGTTGACGAGGACGGAAAGGTGCTGGTTGAAAATAAATATGGCGGAAAGGACTTTTGGGACGATTGACATGGTTTTGGACTCTTGCAATTAAGCGACGTTTACTTTTTCACAAGTCCTAAACTCCTGTGTTAGAGGAATTCAACCTCCGTAGGATCTACAACTCGAGAAGCGACAGTATAGAAGAATATAGAATAGCCTGTCGCGGTGAATCATACCCAGGAAATTGTTTTTTTCCCCCTCATCTTTTCCAGACCTCCAGACCAGCAAAAGCTCTTGTACTGAAGACACCCGGGATTCCCGATGAATTTTCTCCGTCGTTCCTCTTCTGTCCAAGCGGGGGGTACTGCAGACCTCTTCTCGAAACTGGTCAAGCTGGAATCCACACTTTCCATGCTTACCAACGCGCTAACCAGCCTGCATGTGGCGCCCTCGATTGCAACTTCAGGAGGAGCCGGTTCTGTCAATAGCGCCAACAAGAAGTTTCAGGGCCTAGAAACCATTTATAAGCATGAGTTATAGACTAGCATACGCCTTTGGTGACTTACTAGTGTACTCTCGAGCTCCTTGGGCTTTCCATGGGTCTCGCGGAAATGGTTCTCGAGTATAGAGTCTGACAACGGGTTAACACAAGCTGCTCGAAATAGAAGCAAAAGCTAGCAGAGAAATTGACGCAACGCACTCTGGTTAACCACATCGAGGTGATCTTGCAATTCTTGGATTTGCACAAGCTCATCCAGGAATTCCCGGGCACCTTCGTCTGTCCCCACCTGGACGATTCCAAAGGCGATTGCTGTGTCGTCTATGTCAGCAACTAAGATCTTCAGGCTCGGTTAGTCCCTGCAGTTAACTCACCCGCTGGACTGTAACTATTGGCGGCGAGATCATTCTTGCACTTTAACACTGACTCCTTCAAGGCGCTTCTGGGCTCTGCCGTGGGCTGAGGGGTTCTGGTCAGTACATCTGATGTGCATGGCTAGGTTGAAGTAGAGCATTTCGTACCTCGCCATCAGTGATGACATAAACCAAGCAGGGTCTCGCAAATTTGGCTGGGTCTTCCACGATCTTCGACCAGATCTTGGCTCTCAAGACCGTGCCCAGCCGGGTGGACCCTCCATATTCGACAGCTTCCGACCACCTGTTGAAGTCGTCGACCGAGTTGATGACTTCTTTAGGGTCCTCGCCATTGAGAAGATGGAGACGAATCCCTTTCTCGATGATGGCACAGTCAATATCGACGATGTTACGAATAGTCGATTGCGCGGTTCTGATGCGATCTTCCTCAAACATGGATCCAGAGTCATCTACGGGTCCGTAGGTCAGAATATCACTGAATTAGATTTGAGATGGAGTTGCAAGCATACCAAGCAAGATGTGGATCTGGTAGAGAGACAAGAGCAGCATTGAGTAAGCATACTCACTCATCTCCTCCGCTGAGAAAAACTCCTCGACGCGGTCGCGCCAATCGCTCAGCTTTTGCTCTGCATTCTGTGCAATATTCTCAACGACCTGGGGGTCCGTGAAGAATCGCTCAAGCCTGTGTCTCCTGATGCTTTGCTGCAGATATGCTAGGCAAGCCTCTCTGGAGTGCGGCATTGTGGCAACACCTTGATGAGACGGAGGAGCTGTTCAAGATCGACGTGGGAAGGATGAGATTCAGCACCGTTAGAAAATTGATGCAAGAAACAAAAAGAATGATAAAAAAAAGTGGAAATGGGAGGGAGGGGTATTTGAGTCATAATACAGGCCTACGGCAATCCTTCATTCATGATTACAAACCAACGTTAGCGAGAAGAAACCCCACCACTCCTGGCTGATGTTAGGCTTCCGGGCTGCTTCGTGAGTTCTCCCTACATTCTCTCAACTCCTACTTCAACGATCCAGAAATATCCAAAACTCCGCTTCAAGCCATCAACTCTGTGTGCCCTATCCAAAGGGCAAGATGTCGTTCGCAGCCAAGAGTACTCGCCCCCGCGATGGTAAGAAGGAAACATCAGTGCGGAGTTCTGCTGACAACAGCTCTACCAATGCCCCAAGCCAGCCGAAACGAGGGGTTGCAGACCAACCCGCAACGGCACCCAACACTCTCAACCCATCCAAACCTTCATTGAGCAAATACTTCTACGACTTACCTGCTCGCCTCAACGATTTAGAGGGACGGGACGCTACACGGGCAGGATGGTCATCCACGATTGACAGCGTCATGAACGAGATTATACGAAGCCGAAAAGAGCAGAGCCTGGATATAAAGTCGTACAACCCAGCTCATGAAACCAGCTCAAACGCCGCCGTTGAGATCATAAAATGGCTCGCGTATCCCAACAACTGCAAACTCCGCAGAGAGGAAAACAAAAACAGATATGTGGAGGCGGACGTTAGGGCGAACCAGGATGAATACTGCGAGTGGGAGGTGGAGAGACAAAATGGGCACCTCAAGAGTGTCACTTTCACTACTGAAGTCCCTGAGGTATGTGTGATGGAACTGACAACAGATTATTCGGGAAAGCTGATCGAGATTGATATAGTATTACACTTACCTTGCCAAGGCTGACCCAACTGGTGCCCTTCTCCTACGCCAGTACAAGCGCCTGAACCCAGATGTAGCAGATTCGATCAAGCTTGAAGACCTCGTCGATGCAAGAGGCGCCTACAATATCAAAAATCGTTGGAATACGAGAGGTACCGACGAGAATTTAGGCTTGGAAGGTCGTATCGCACATCTGATTCGAGAGAACAACAACCTTCAGGAAGCGGCCGAATTGGTGGTTGACTCCACCGTCGTCCGCAGAGACGCAAAAGGAGAGTTCGTCGCTGGCGGCCGATCGCTACTCCTTGCTATGGTTCCCAAGGTCTCCGACAACAGCCCAAACCGGAACTCAGATCCAAATGTAAGGTTCCAAGTACATGCTAGTGAAAGAACCATCTAACGTTTGCAATTTGTACCATAGATTGCAGCCTTCATTAATCAATTCTCAAGGGATGGTAAATTGGTGACTGTGTCCAACCCAGTCGGCCTCTACATCGATTCCTTCGAGGACAGCGACTTCAAGACTGTGGACGGCGACAGCGTATCGAGCTTTTGGAATGTAGAGAGAAAGAGCCAAGACGGCCGATATGTGGTGCGGGCCAAGTTCACAGTGCCAACTGGCCTCCTTGGCAAAATCTTGCACGCTCATACGAAACAACGGTTGAAGCACGGCAGCCAGCTGGCAGAGAGTATCTGGATCGCCGCATATGTCACGATAGCTGACTCAACAATCCATTCGGAAACTCCTTGTCCAGCGGCCGCCTCTCACCCAATCTACTCCTTCATTGAGGGAAGACAGATCAAGCCTACAGAGGTCCCACGAGCTACCATTAACAATGAGCTCCGTCTTGAGCTTTTTGGAGCCTACTTGGCATCGACCGAGAAGCCTGCCATCATTCTGAGGGACCTAATTGCCACGTTTGAGGACTACACATGGGCGGCGTTTGCAGCGGACGAGGGAATCGGCTTCTACAGTGAGGTCGTACGAGTACGTATGGTGCTCATTTGGATCCCTGGCTCCTCCGCGAAGCCTCGCTCTGGCAACACATCTTCCAAGATGGGAGACGCCCAGCTCCTCAAGCGGGATGCCTTCGTTCGTCCCACGGTAATGGTCGTGGCGCTCCCTCCGTTTGATAACAAGACCAATATCCATTCGGAGAACAGTATCTTGCAGGTGGCCAGCTATGACCCGCGCCTTGGTTGGTTCAACTTCTACGACGTAAGTTATCTCTCATTATCTGTCTGTCTACGAGTCACTTGTTTCTGACCATTACCACTAATAGCGGGAGAAAACTGGAGATCGTCGTTGGCTATACTTTGGGAACTCCAATGACGCCTTCGCCCCCGATACCCATGGCCTCGGCCCATTCTGCGGCCACCCGAACGGGGCCCTGGCGATGAAGGAGATTGTTGAGCCGTGGCCGCACTGGCACTCCACGCGAGCGCAGCTAGACCTAAAGCACGATCACCCGCTCAGCCGGGATCCGCTCTTCAGAGACCCAAACACTGGATCGTGGTACTTCAGATTCGTGGATCAGCTGGCTCATATGGTCACTGCGGGAACCAAGAAGTGGTGAGCCCCTCTCCAAATTTGCTTCCTTGGTCTTCTCTCTCTAACAGAACACTTGCTGACGATGGCCTTAATAGGTTTCAAAAACGACGTTTTCTTGACTTTGGGCCACGGGCAGATCCTTCTCCGACAGCAAAGCGCATTCACCAGTGGATCTCACATGCTTGCATGAACACAACCATAGAGATCACGTCCTCGTCTAGCAAAATCCCTTCCAATCCAAATACGCCGGGGACGTTCGATATTCCCCTTGGCTTCTTCTTCAACTCTCAAGCCCTGGGGCTCGTGCTTGATGGAGTAGGGGACTTGGTACGTGTTGCTTCATGAATTTGACCCCTCCACGGTAATAGTAGATCAGGTGGCTGACAAATACAGGCTGACAGCATCAATTCCATCTCCTGGGCCAAGTATAAGGATGCGTCATCCAAGCTTGGCTTGAGCACTGTTTCGGGATTCGGTATCAAGACTGGTGAAAAGGATGCTCTTGCTGCAGATAATGAAGGTTTCGTAAGTGACAAGAACTTGGCTCCATCCCATCGTTAGGCACAGTCTTCTCACAGATTACTCTGGCAGGTGCCGTGGAAAATTGTCACGCCGAGCACGGAGGATACAGAGGGAGTCTCGATTGTCATCGAGACCGGCCTGCTGCCCAAGAACATCATAGCCGCCATATTGATGGTTGATTTCTGGTATATAACTGACTGGGCTTATCTACTAAGTGAGCATCGAGTCCTGCAACCTGCAAGCTAACTCCTGGAAGGAATCCTGTTTTCTCGTCTCGTCGAGCGCAGCTGATGCGATACGTGCCCTCAACAGCTACCTACAACACGAGCGCTCCTCCGCAAGACAAGTACACGTTAGGCGCAGATCTCGTTGCCGCAGTCGAACGAGGTATCGCGACGTACGGTTGCGACGACGCAAGCCCCGAGGCCGAGTTTGTCCGACTCGCTCGCAACCCGAACATTTTCAATGACGCGTACGCTAAGTTAGAAACCTACATCAAGGGTATTAACAACCATCTGAAGAATGAGAACGGCGTGCTCGACTACATGAGGGTTGCGGAGACCAGGCGGCGAACCTTCCGCCCGCCTCCGCGGTCGCGCAAGCCAGCCCATCCTCTAGCCGAGTTCGAGCTAACACTGCCATATGCGCAGAAGATGGATCCAAATTTTGAGGAAACGTGGGTGATGAAGTCAGATGGCACGGTGGAGATTGCAACCCCTGCTAAGAGCGTGTGGCATCCGAGAGATAACCAGGCTCATCTCATCGCCTCTGGCTGCCCACACTCACAGGGCGTCTGAATAGAAGCATTTGCCGCTGTGTGATGCATTGGATGGCATAGCAATTCCCCAGCCTTTGTTTAGGATTAGGTACTCAAAAGTCACTCTTTTAAACAGGCCCAAGAAGATCCCTTCCCGAATGTCCTGTCACCACGCCATATGTCTCCCGGGCTCCCATGTGAGCCTAACTGATTCTGTTGCAATTACATGAAGCTTAGTAAGACAGTTGCAAAGTGATAGTAGGAAGTTGAAATTGAATCTGTTTTTAGGGCTGGCAAGTCCGTCGTGTGCGTGTTGGTGATCTCTCCGTTGATGCGTTCCTTGTGTTTGTATGGGAAATTCTGGAGAAGAAGACTATTGGGAATTTCGGGAAGGCCGAGGTACGTGTGTCCAATCAATCGCAAAAGAAAAATCTTCAGCCCCTCACAATCCGTATCTGGGCTTTCATTTTAGCGACAACATATTTAATCCGTCCTTTGACAAGCTGGTTTCCTATTTTGTGACCGTGGCGATCTCAAGAAAGTCTCTATACAGGCGACATGGCAAGTAAAAGTCCTTGCTGAGATTCGGTGTGGGAATGTAACGAACTGACAAAGCTTGCCCCGTGCCAGACAGGAGACACATCCTCGTACGTCTACTCCCAATCTCCTCTTCAACCCTGGAGGATAAAATGCTGACGGACGGCCTGGTACTCCAAGGGGATGGACTAAACTGCACTACGCGGCGACGCGAGGCGATCAAAACCCAGAAGCACTGCGGAGTGCAATCGCAGCCGGATACAGCTTGGAGACAAAGACCTCGGACGGACAAACGGCGCTCCACAAAGCGGTGAAGTTTGGACAAGAGCAATCCGTACGGATCCTCATACAAGCGGGCGGCAACATCGAAGCCACCGACTGCAACGACCAGACGCCTCTGCACCTATCCGCCTGCTACAACACCACGACAACGACGAAGCCGCTGCTGGATTCGGGTGCGAACAAGGAGGCTCTGGACCGCTGGAGCTGGACCCCCGTGTTCTGGGCCGTCTATCGCGACTACGACGGGGTATTCGTGCTGCTCCGCGATGCCGGTGCGCTCACCACCGACAACATCACCGACGACAAGCGCATGACGCTGCTCCACTGGGCCGGCAGGGCCGGTAGTCCCAAGATCCTGCGGCTCATGCTCGACCGGTGCCGGACGCTGAGACTCGAGGAGAAGGACGCCTGGGGATGGACGCCGCTGCTGTGGGCGGCTTACCACGGCAATGTCGACGTGTTGGGGATGCTGATCGACTTTGACGCGAACAAGAACGTTCAGGACCCGGACGGCAGAACTCCGTTGTCTTGGGCGGCGAATGAGGGCCATGCCGATGCTGTGATATGTCTTCTCGCCAAGTGTGCAAGAAGGGTCCTTGAAGATAAGGACGGAAAGACGGCTAGAGACTGGGCGAAGACGGATGAAATAAGAGCGCTATTTGACTGTTAATACTAGGTCACCAGTTTCTGAATATTCTTAGTTCTAGGCCTATTAGTATCGCTATATTCAGTCTTATATTCGCTCCTATACGTCTTAAAGCAGTAGTGATACTAGCGCCGTAACAATAGTAAGGATTTTAGAGGTATGCTTGATTCTACGCAATGCCTTTGCAACCTGAGCATTGCTGACTACTACTTCAAACTTAGCGAAGAGATAATTAGTAATTTCATCTTGGTATAGCTCAGGTTCCCTTTCCAATAGCCCAGCTATAAAGACCTCCATCTGACGATTTATAACAGGTGCCGGCCCTTGAGCTCTTGGTAGAGCATTTGTACCACTCCTCTCCTTCTGTAACCTTCGATTACGCTCACAAATCGTCTTATAAGTGGTATTGAACTGCTTAGCAATAGTAGTAAAGTCAACGGAAGTGCCATTAAGGAGAATATTATCGATTTGGGTTGCAATTCGACGTGGAAGGTTGGGAGCCATATCGACCCTATTTGCCTCTGTCAACACCAAGAATGCCTTTATTTTGAGCTACTTACTAACGAGTTTGCAGTTGTTGATGTGGAGAAATCTACGAGCATCGATTTTCAGTGTGGTTTATAGCAAATTTTGATGTTCCGGCGTTAATAACTGAAAGATAACGCCGAACCGAGAGGTCACTGTAGTGGGTAGCTCATCGAGCCGATATTTCCATTCGCGGTTCAGCCTACGGAATACGTTCTCCTTCCCCTCGCCATAGATAACTGGCATCGAGATGTCGAAGATGCCTAGCAGGGAATAAGCCTTGTCCTCTTCACGCTGGGTCTCCCGAAGCTGTGCCCACGATATTCGCTCGTCGAAGCTAAATTCAGAAAGAGGGCTACTTTGAAGAGCGGAAACTGGAATCCCCGTTATCTTGTGAAGCTGCCCCTCTAATGATTTCTTGTTACCGAGTCGATTGCCGTTCGAGCAGAAGAACTCAACCGATGGCGGCGCGATAAGCTTTTGAAGCGTCCAACCACGGGTAAACCATCGACTATTCCCAAAAGCTGCCTCCCACGCCTGTAGAGACAAGTCGATTTGATCATTTGTCGAAACATCTGTCAGATATACGTAGCATTTTGCCGCTTTGCGATACCAGCGAAACATAGAGTTAATAGCTTCCGAAAGCTCCCTGTCGCTCGATTTGTTAATACAGCAAGTATCTACCCAGAAGTTATGCAAGTCATCACGTCTGGCTTGCCCTCCGCAGAACCGAATCTTCTCATATCCAACCTTGCTCTTCCCAGTACTATCTATCAGGTCTCTATATATGACCTCTTCTGTATCCGCCCCCCATGTGTGTGAAAGGATAGCATATTCGGGAATCTCGCCGCTAACAAAGTCCTTAGTCAGGCTAAGCTCGCCATCGTTGTTGTATTATAGTAGGCACATTACTCAGACAGGATCTGACAGAATCTCTGAACGAAAGAATGTCGGTGAATAGTTCTCGCAGGGTCGATATGCATGCATTTGTTGAGTTGGGAGTACAGGTTAGGTCGAGGTTGTGCTCTTACAGCTCAGCTGAACGACAGCCTCGCGGCATGGTGTCGTCGTGCATCATCACTTCCAGCGCGCCAGCCAGCCAATCGTGGCCAGCCACTGCAGAAGGTAATGGCGGGCTGTCCGAACCATTCGAGCCTCTTTGTTATCGGAAGATCGATCATAGTCATCAGAGTCGAAGGACAAGGCATGCGCTGGTGACAGGGGCATGCGCTCGTGACACGTAAGCTCCCAAGAATTCCTGACGCGAGGAACATCCACATAATATCGAAGTCACAAAAAGCTGTCAATGGCGCTCGAAAGTGGGAGAACGCCACACTTTCACGTGACGTCTATAAAATGCGTAATAAAATACTGGCTGTGAATACAATATTAGGTAATGGTGATAAATCCTTTCTCGCTTATTAAGATGCTTGGCATTTTGTGTACGAAAGGTACCTCCCACTTTTGTCCGGATAAATCCGGCAGGCAGGTTTCCTTGTGCTCTGTATCTTCAAACCTTGGAGCTATATTTGAACTTAATAGAAGCTCTATGCCACGGCCCCGAATTCCGGGGACAGGTCGATAGTCATGATAGAGCAGGGGGTAATAGCTATAGCAGCTTTTGACGCTCTCAACAGGACGATCGACAGCATGGCCAAACTATAGTATTTTTCTGCCTGCAAGTCGAGCCCTTGTAGATAAATAGCTAAAGAATAATAGCAAACTGATTATAGCTTTATATATTTACGTGGTAGAGATTTAAGACCCCTAAACTATAATTTTTTTCGGCACACAGGGTTTTTCGGTACGCAGGGATGGACGTTATCTGTGTATGTAATCTTGGCTGTCCAGCCAAGGCAAAACTTCTTCCAGAAACATTATTTCCTCCTCTTCTGAGCTAGGGCCTTGAAATTCCGTAATCCAAACTGGCCTATAACTACTATCTTCATGTGCCTGCATAACGTAATCTTTGAAAGCGCCTGCGTTCCTACTATTGTCTTCACTTCTTTATATTATCGTACGTTTGGACCACCCTTAAGCGGTTGGCTCTCGGGGCTCCTGGAAAAAAACTGGTTACGTAAGGAATACCAGAATCGCCCCCTTCTAGAGAATCGCATATCGGAACGCAATTACGTCTAAATCCTTAGAGCTTAGCTTAGGATTATAGAGAGAATACTCGAGTACCTTTCTCTATATTTTAGTAGTTCTGAGATATAAGGGGCTTTTATTATAATTTTTTAAAGCTCGGGGGAAAATCTAAAGCTAGCGGTTCCGTAGAAGGTACTAAGAAAAGAAATCCTGACCTTATATTACTCTTCTCTCTTTCTTCTCTTTATTACTATGGATCCTCCCCGCTTTTATACTTCTTATAGGCAAAACCGGCCTGCTTTTGACTTTATTACAGAGCGGGCTAAGCTATATAAAACTTGCTCTTACTATTGAGTTTATATCCTTCCCCTTTTCTGGCTTAATTAACTAGTTAATAGGCCCGAAATACTACTAATTATATCCAGTAGTACCCTGCCTTATAAGAACTCAATCCGAATGCCCTCCCTACCTCCCGGTAATAATAATAGTCAATTACGGACATCTCTATAGACGAGCCAGCCCTATAGCGCCAGTAACGGATCCGTTAACCGTCTGTTGCAGCCCTAGTTTATATTATAAAGGACCCTCCTACTAACCCACCTATTATACGGCCTCCTGCCTTTCTCTCCCGCTTCCGGCCAGCTCCCGTATATATGACTGGTCTGTTTACAGATTACTATATAGCTTGCGGAGCCCTTTATTTTGGCTATATAGATAATTACTTTAAGGCCTATTATAAGAAGAGTAATATAATACTTCTTCTAATCTATAAGCCTTTTCTATATCTCTCTTACCTCTCTACGGGCAATAACCCGCTTTACCGGGCCTTCCGGACAAATATCCGAATATATAATTATACTTTTGCCTTTATATTAATTAGCTATAAGAAGAATATCCGGATTGACTTCTCCTATAGGATCTAGTACTTTCAGATCTATAATAAGCTCTTCTATTTTCAAGGCCTGCTATAGCCCGCTTTATATACCGAACCCTTTTTTATATAGCTCTTCTTTTATAATCCGCTCTTTATAACTAATATATAGGCTACTAACTTCCCTTATTTAGATTATATAGTTCTTTTATAGCTTACGAATATACTTATAGATTATAATTCGTTTATTATAGTCTATAAAACAGCCTGTAAATATCTTATAAGTTAGTAAATCGATTTCCGGATCTTACTTAATCTATAAATATACTTAGTTCTTAAGTCGGGTACTAATTATTATTATAAGAACCTTCTAATAAGTAATAAGGTTATAGCCCTTATTTCGGATAAGTATACGGATATAAGCCGCTATAATCTAGTATTTATAGTCCGTAAGATAGGCTATAAGTATCCGCAAATATATATAATTAATATTATATATATAATATATATATTACTCTATTATATCTTACTTTTCTCATATAGTAACTCGGACTAGTATTATAGTTTATAGTTATAGAACTATAATAGGACCCGTTAACGGATATAGCTAGAGTAATAGGTCTTTTACTAGTACTATTTCTATATTTGTCTGGCCTTCTCTTTACTCTTTTATACTAGTTGCCTCTTTTAGTAATATATTATTAATATATATATTACTTATAAAACTACCTTACTCGATTAGCTTTGCTTATACTAGTAGAATATCCGTATAGATATATATATAGGACTTATAAATGCTCTAATTTATAAGAATATTTATATAAGTAATATTAGCTATTACTTTATTCTCTTATTAAGCTTTATAGGTAGTAATTGCTTTATATAATAGCTTTTTTAAGACTTAATAGCTATTATATAATATTTTAGTAAGCTAAGCTTCTTTATTACTTTTATGGCTAACCTATACTAGCCTGAGATTACAGATTATCTCTTAAACGAATAGTAAGCTATTAACTATCCGGATCTCTTTTACCGAATCTTTATATTAAAGGTAAGAGAGCTATTTATAGACCTAAAGAATTATCTTTTCGGACTATATATAGGCTATATATATATAATTAAGTACTAGAAATATAGCCTTTTATATATATATTTGTTCTTATTTCTTAGAAAAGAAGCCGTTTTCTTAATTCCCGATTTAGTTAATAAAGTTATTTATACTAAGCTTTTAGATCTATTATAAGATCCTATAGGCAAACTTATAATTATAGTAACTAGTCAGATATCTTATAAACTATATAACTTTAAAGATAATCCGAAAGCCCTATATATAGTCTATAAGATGCCTATAGCCCTGCTTATATATTAGAAGAGGTTCCCTAAAGTATTTATAGCTATAATAATTATTTATAAGAATAGATATCCCGAATACTAGTACCAGAATAATAGCTATATATTTATAGTCTATAAATAAGGCTTTCTAGATCAGGAAGTTATCTATAATAATTACTAAATTATTTTATATAATTTGTATCTCTTCTAGAAATTCTGCTCCTATATTAATATTGAGGTTTATACTTCCGTATAAGTAATTAAGTATATTTATAAGTATATCTATAAAGAAATAGACTATATAATTATTATAGTTTTAGAAATAAATAATAAGATTACCTAATATTTTCAAGCTTAGTATATAGGCCCTATAAAGGCTTTCTGGTATTTATTTAAGTACCTAATATACTAGGAGTTTCTATTATAAGTATAAGATCTAGAGCCTAGAAGATATAGTTAGACTATCTCTATCTTAATAATTTAAAGCTAAAGAAAGAAGAGGATCTCAAAGAAGCCTCGGATCTAAATAATTGCGAGCTATATACGGGCTTATATACTAGCTTAAGCTCGGGGTCACGTGTAATAATCAGGTAATTATAGATGCCTCGCTTAGATACCAGATGCCTTTCTAGCTCTAGTCTAACCCCTACTAGTATTATATATTATAATAACCGTAATATTACTTCTTCTCTCGAAATAAGCTTATTCTCGAGCTTTAAAAGTCCCTATTAAATTTCCAAGTTACAGGTCACATATTAAAGGCCAGGGCCTTTTATATATAACTTTAAAGAATTTCCGTCTATATTATGCGGTTCCGGTAGTATATTATTCTTGGTATAGTCTAACTAATAGGAGAGATTCTAGGGCAGTTCTAGCTATTTAGGGTTCTTATTATAAAAGCTCTAAAAAGCTAGGGTACTATTACTTAATAAGAAAGTAGGATATTACTCCGGATCTGGGTTTTATTCTTTTTACTAGACTTAGTACTTTAGCTTCTTATAAAGCAGTTTTACTACTTATATCTCTTGAACTTTATATTTTGTTTCTCTATCTTATAGTTCTAATAGCAGAGGCTCCGGATTTGCTTATCCGGGAAGAGGGTTATCTAGGTCTTTATATAGCTTCTCTATATAGAATACCGGATATATTCTTATTAATTCCGGAAGCTTGAGCCTAAAGAAATATCTTACTTATTTCAGGATTTTATATAGTTCTTTTATTTAGTAAGCTAGCTTATAGCTCGAATAATTATTTTTCTAGTACTTAGTAGTAATTTATATCTTATTTCCTACTCTAAAGTCTACTAGTTAATAGTACTTATTAGCTTAAATAGTATAATATTCTTATACTTATATTATATTCTCTTATACTTTTTATTATAATTTATAAAGCTATATTACTAGAGCCTTTACCTTCTATCTATTTAGCTCTTTTTTTGAAGTATCTAATTATATTTGGGTTTCCTAGTTAAATAATATCTGCGGTTTATAGCCCTTCTTTATAAGAAACGGGAATTAGCCTATAGTCTTATAGACTAGAGCTATCTACTAGTAGTTAATTATTATTACTTATTTATTCTAATTATCCTAATAATAATTCATATAGGAATGCAGCTATTAGTTAAAGTACTAGTTAATAATTTCTATCTAGCTATTAGTTTGAGAATAATTAATAGTTAATAACTTGAGCTTTATATTAATATATTTATAAAACTTGCTCTAGAAATCCGATATGAATTAGGGGCCTTAATTAGATACTATAGTCTCCGGGATACTAATTTAGTAAACTATATAAATAAGGAATAGAGATACTAACTCTTTAGCTATTA